GCAAGCCCTTTGCTTCCCCAACAGACGCTTAAGCACTGTTGGTCCCAAGCATGCAGTAGTTTTTACCTCGGAACCCCGACCTTTCCAGGACAGCATCTTCCACACCGTCGATGTGGGAAGAGAGGCAGGGGGCAACTGGACACCTAATGGGTCCAGAAAGGTTTTACAAGACATAGGTCCTAGTCTTGTTATAGTGTGCATAGGGTATTATTCCCCAGACACTGCAATGCAGCACTCCGATCTTATAGACGAAGTGGTTTCACACTGTGAGTGCACTGGTGTACCCTATCTATTGATAGATGTAAGGGACACCCAGAGGTGGCAGCAACTTTCTATTCCAATCTACCCTATTGTGGGGATTGGGGATGTGTCATTCACAAGTAATGATAAGGAGTTGTGTGATTCCTTTGAAGGATGGACTTGCAATAGCTATCCAGACATGGCTCCCAGATCATTCTATGATTGCCTTGAGCCAGACTTTGTTAGCTGGATTAAGGACAATGCTGAAGACCAAGCAGCTATGGCTTTAGCCGCCACCGCCTTTCCTGCAGAAGTGCATGATGAGTTAGAGCAACCATCGCAACTTCCATTCGATACCGTGGAAGGATCGGAGGACATCGCCAGAGTTGATCCCGGCGAAGAGGCAATCCAGCAAGACCTCGAGCTAGACGAGGCCGAGGTACGCAACTTGCCCGCGTCTGAGCAAGAGCGGCGAGATGGATGGAAGCAATTGCCACAACGCATTCGTGTGGCATTGCGCCGCCTTCATCGGCAGTTCGGACATTGTCCGCAGAAGGTATTAATTAACCTTCTTCGTGCAGCCAGGGTAGATAAGGCGTACGTTGACGGCGCCAAACTACTTAGATGCACAGAGTGTGAGGAGGCAGCTCCCAGGCGCCCCGCTCACAAGGTTGCAATGCCAGAGAAATATACCTTTAATCATTCTCTGGGTATTGACACACTAGAGGTTTTGGATGCCAATGGCACCAAATTCCAAGTGCTAAACATGATCTGCTTAGGGACATGTTTCCAGCTGTGTGACGTCGTTCGGGAAGGACCAGGCCAGGCCTCCAGTTCGGTATGTCTTGACGCTCTGAGGCGCAAGTGGATGACCTGGGCTGGGCATCCCGAAGTCTTACGCTGTGACAGAGGTTTGCACAGTCGTGGCGTGCTTGCCCAGTGGATGTCATCACATGGTGTGCAGGTGCACCATGCACCGCTGGAGACTCCTGAGGCCATGGGACGCGTGGAGCGCCATGGCGGTGTAATTAAAGGAATGGCCAGGAAGGTCATATCCCAGACTCAGGCAGTCGGACTAGCGAGCGTTCAATCCGTATTGGATGAGTGCTGTACAACTAAGAATAGCCTACTTCGGCATGGAGGCTATTCGCCAGCACAATGGGTTTAGGCAAGGCTCCAAGAGGAGTTCCTTCACTCATGGACGAGGAAGGCCATGTTGACCTAGGTGCTATTCAGGATACTATTGATCCTGAGTCTCGCTTTGCTCTGACGAATCAAGCACGAGCTGAGGCCAAGAAAGCCTTTGTTCACATGGACACCTCCAAAAGGGTTCAGAGAGCATTACTTAGGAATGCTAAGCCTATTCCCCATGAATACACAGTAGGGGATATTGTTACCTTTCGTAGGGACAAGAGCGGTAAGACTATTTGGTCTCCCGCGTCTAGAGTCATCGGACGTGAAGGCTCAGAAGGTCAGGACGTTTGGTTATTATGCGAAAACGTACCGGTTTTAGTTTCAGCACAAAACCTTAGACCTGCTACTGATG